AAAACTAGTAGATCTATTGATAGTGCTGTGCACTGTGCTATCAGCTACCTATCTGTTATGTGACTCTTCAGTGTTTAGAAGATCTGCATTCCTGAAGTGTTTTTGTATATTGAAAACAGTTAAATGGTCAATATTTAGCTCATTACCTTGCTCCATACAAACTTTCCAAAGCTAATGAATAGACCTAGGTATCATTTATCAATAATCATTTACCCAAAAATCCTTAAGTGGTAAACACGACCTTGGCCTGTTGGCCTTTATTGAAGGCAATAAGTGCCCTTTTTAGCCATCCATTATGATCCATATGCTGTTATTGTTGATAGGCTAATTGCAACATAAAAAATTACACTTCAAAAAGACAAAAAAGCTGAAAAAATCAAAAAAATCAAATAAATCAAATAAATCATGAAAAAATAAAAAAAATCATTGATTTTTGATTTTTTTGATTTTAAAAAAAAATCAAAAAAATCGCCAACCCTGCGTGTAAATAGTTTTTCATTACTTAGCGTAAATGGCTTTTCATTAAAAATTACCTGGCGATGCATCTTAAAATTACCCGGGAACGCTTAGGGCTTACAAACCCGTATTTTGGCAATGCTGCATCCACCCTCTGCACCCTGGGATTCCTGAACTTGATTGAGCACTTTGGTCAAAAATTAGATTGGAGGTAATTCATTCAGCAAGAATTTCTTGTGTCCAAAAATGACAGGAAAGCTCCAGACCAGTCAGGGCTGCAATAATCCTATTTTTTCTAGAATTTTGTGGCTCTACTACTATCAAATGGGGTAATAAGGGACAGGCACATCGGGCAGGGTAAATGGGATTATCAGGACAGGCGTCCCACATTTTGTAGAAGTGTTGTAGCAGCTAAACTAATCAAAATATTGTAAAACTAAAAATAGTGGTATAAAGTTAAAAATTTTTAACTATCTAGGGTAAACACACCATATTCTGACACAGTGACACTGTGGGTTGAGTAATTCCAACACCTCTCAACTTTTTCCTTTATATTAAGCTTGGTCTTAGTTCTATGCATGCATAGATGGTTGAAATAGTGATGTCATACTATTGCACACAAGATTTCTGCAAAACACTAGGTCTAGCAGGAAAATGTAAGAGCCGTAGAGCGAAAGTCCTAGTCAGCTAGTGAGAACATCAAAACACATATGAAAGTTGATAGTTGACCTTGCTTTACTAAATAGTGATAAACTTTTTGTGTAGAAAGAATATTATGGTTTGAGACTTTTAAATAGTCTATGAATATATTAGGAATCCTTTAAGTATACCTACTTATATTTGCTGATTTTAAGTGGTAAATAAATTAATAGACGATTGATTTAAGAGATGGTTTTAGACACATAAAAACTATGTCATAATTCCGACACATGGTGTAGGAATTATGACACACAGGATGTTGTATTTCGACACAGGGTGTCGGAATTACGATTTTGAAGCGCTGTCAGAATTAGTCTCGCAACATGCCGCATTTAGTCACACACAGTGTTGGAATTCAGCGATTTTGTAGATTTGAATTCTAAAGGCTTTTAAATAAGTATGGCAACATTTTGTGGCGTTTCATCATTGCTGGCACATAGTATGGTGTTTTTAGAGTGACGTAAACCAATCAGAACTTGAGTTGCGCATACGGTGATCTATTTATGGCCATTTATTTCTTGCTACGTCCTTAAGGTGTTGGAATTTGGTGTGTTTACCCTATGTAGCATAAAACAAGGTAAGAAATCCTTCATTTACTACCTCTAAAAAATCCATGAAAAAAAGTAAAAAGTGTGATTTTTGAAAGTACCTCTGCTAAGGTCTGTAGCAAAAAATATTTGCTGTATTAAAAAATTTTACTTACATAAAAGTTGCACACAGCCCACAGGTGTTAGCTTAAAAATATGATTGACAGAATTTGTATACGGTATCTCATTAAAAAAATGGTGGCAATTTCTGCATGATGGGGCAATAAGGGACACCCCCCAGGGTAATAATGGACACCCCTAAAAATGCATTTACATTAGAACCTCAGCTAGCAAGGGTTCCAGTTAACCAAAAAATCAATAACCAACAAAAAAATTTTTGATTCCATTTATCTTGCTCAGTGAAAAAAATTTCATTTAACAAAGAATTAATTTGCATCATTGGTCATCACAAAATTGTTCATAGAATGTCATAGATAGAATTGTGCACCAGGCAACATAGAATGAAAAGGAATTAACCTAAATTATGATTTATTTCTCAAAAAAATATGGTTGTCATTAAAATATTCCTTTCTGTTTCAGGTATGTTTTTACATTTTTTTTTTTTTTTTGGTTATAGTGAATTCACTTGACCCAATGAAAATGGTGTTAAATTAAAAGCTGTCCTGTAAGCTTACAGATACAGATGAAATGATACATGGCTGCTGATATGAAGCTTGCAGTGGATAAGGTCGTTGTAAATGCTCAATTGACAATGGCATGTCCATGGGTACAGTAATATGACATCAATAATACATCAATGAATGGATTTGATAATATCATATCAATCAAGGAAAAACAAGTAAAAAACACAGAAAACGTCATTTATTCTACATCTACATCATCTACAAAGGAAGTGGAGGACTTCAGAGTACTGTTAGTAATGGATGAGTACACTTTGCATGCTTCAAACGTTTTAAAATTGAGTTTTATTTGAAGTGTCCCGGATTACCACGTTTCCAGGGGTAATTTGTGATGCTTTTATTTTGTGTCTGGCACCTTACAAATAATATATAGAATTTTTTGGAGATGTCATTTGATAGCCTTCACAAAGAGCTTTAAAATGAGCCTAAACTTGTTCATGAAATGTACCAGCATCATGGTAAGAAATTATTAATGAAAAATGCTCAAAACCATCCCTTATAACCCTGTTTGATGGTACTTAAGGTCCAGCATGGGAGGATGGCAGCCTGGAGCTTCTTTTGACTCAACAGTCAAGGCAAGGTTTTACTCTGAACATGCAAACAAGAAAAAGAAACACCACCCCCTATGGGCAGGACTATGAAGAAGAATAGGGATAGTCTGGTAAAGAGGAAAAAGTAGCATGCTTCATATTAGGCAGTGGCTGCCTAAATGATACTAGACTGTCTTAAATCTATTGAGACCGCATTGAGTGCTTTTTCTCCATTACAAGCAACACGTTTTTGTTGGAGAATTAGTTTTAATCTAGGTTGTTAATTTCACATGTGGTAGTTGCACTTAGTCTACTCATGGTTAGAAATATTACCTGGACCACCTGGACCATAATAAGATTGTCAAATCACATAGAGCATATTGTTGAGACTAAAAATGGGGCTACTGCTTCAACAATTCAATCCTGAATGATAACTTGAATATGGGCCTCCTCAAAGCAAGTTCTTTTAATCGACTTAATCACTAACCCAACATTGAGTTTGGTTAGTAAGCTAGTAAGGTTAGTACATGGAGGGGCATAAAAAATGGAATCAATCACAAAATAATGATCAATCTATCAACACTGCTTGGATTGCTATCTGGCATTCATTTTGATTGGTATCTACCACCTTTATTATGGAAAACTCTCCAAGCCACTAATGGATTTCTGGAGCCATGAATTTATGAACTTTTGACCTGTGAGTTAAAATTATATTGAAAGTATGCCTTCAAGAACTTCTGTATTTGAAAAAGTAGCAAAAGCATCAAGTTCTATTGCTTTTTCAGAGTCTTTGTGTCACCCTTGCAATGGGCAGCAATTCATCAAATTATTTATTGGTTTACTGTACATGAAGGGTTTCAAAAGTTCCTATAGGTATATGTTAAAATTGTTGAATACATAAAAAATATGTATATGATTATGTACTCTAGTCTGCCAAAAAAAGTTTTTTTTTTTTGCTCAAAAAAATGAAAATTAGTGTACCTATTTAGTTCACATCTGTCATCTTTTCTCAATTTAAGTAAGAAATAGGTACTGTAGATAAGAAATAAGAATAGATGCAAGTATTTACTAATACCTGGTTAATCCTGTGTGGCAGGGGAACCTAGCATTTTCAGTGAAAGTTTTTGAGAGACTTATGAGAAAAGGCAATTTTTAGTTACATAGGCACAATGCTTATGCATGACCAGAATAAATTGTGTAACAGGTTTCTTTTCTGTGCACCTTTTATATGAACGGTAAGCAAGTATTAGCCTAGGGATGGTTTGGTTGTAGCGTGATCCAAGGATATAGAGGAACAGTGTAAACAATTATAGAATATACTTTAGGATTATAGTGTGGCTTACAGTTTAGGATAATCAAGTTTATAAGTTGCAGCTTTAACATTGATGTCTTTGGCATCTAGTTGAAGGATGGATATGCCTGGAGTATAACATCGACTCTGACGTTAATTTAGGGTTACTGTCCTGATTGATATGGACAGGAGTAAGGGCTTACACACGACTGTTCTCGGCCCAAGACTGAGGTTTCTGCGTACGAGCAGAGCTCATATAGCTTCGCCATTTGACATCGCCAAGAGCATGACTTGATAAACAGGGAAGGCTACCACAAGGAAATGTTTATGAACATGTTGCAGTGAAGGAGATTATCTTTGAACAAGCAAGACATCAATGAGGAAATATCCAGGGACAAATGGTATCAACATTGTCACCTTGCTATTGCTTGAAAATTAACCTGTCACAAGAGTCAATGATTCTGAACATGGCTGAAATACACATTCTAAAGTGAATGTCAACATTATGTTTCGGCCTTTTAGCACATTATTATTGTAGCTTGAAGACTTTAAATTCCACTACATAGCTGAATAAATTGAATAAAATAATTGAAATTCAGTAAATTTACTAAATATTTGAATGTATAAATTGTATATTATTGTCTTTGTTTATAATCAATTTTCATATTTTTGGAAAGAGTTGAAGAGTTGAAACCTATCATTTAAAAAATTTTGAACATGAAAGAATTTGATTGATTTATGGCATATATTTTAATAATTGTTCAAAGCCAATTACATTGAATCTTGTACATTTCAGTATACAGAGCTGGAAGAAGTTGTTCTTTGGATGAACACAGTTGGGCCATACCACAATCGTCAAGAGACGTATGCCTACTTCTCCTTGCCATTCTGTGTTGGCCCTAAGGAAGAAATCAGCCACTACCATGAAACTCTGGGGGAAGCTCTTCAGGGAGTCGAGCTTGAATTCTCAGGACTTGACATTGATTTCAAAGGTAAGTAACTGGCTTATTTACGTAACTCACATGATTGTAAATACAAGTTTATACATACCTTCAATAAGCATGAAGGTATGGTGATGTTGCATAATTTTATATATCTGCCTTTGATAAAATTGATCATGCTACCTACTAAAAATCTTTTGTTCCTACTTGTTTTATATTTTCCAGGGATTAGAATTTGTTGCCAATTTGGCAGTGGTAATTATTCTCTCTCATCTGTTCACTCATATTTCTCAGCATCTCAGCAGCATTGTTACAGATGCAATTTGTCTTTGCTAGCCTAATTCTCTACTTCTGATCAATTTACATTCCTATGAGTGCAAGTGTCAAGTAACCTACCTAAGATACCATTATTGACTTGCAAGCTGCAATAAATCCTATTTTCAGCTCAGAAAACATTTAAAAATTCCTCTGCACCCATCTATTGCATAGAAAGTAGAGCAGCAATGATATTTATTTCCATTTCAGGGGACATATCCAAAACTGAATACTGTGAAATTGATCTCAATGAGGAGAGACTGCACACTTTCATCTATGCTGTCAAGAACCATTACTGGTACCAGATGTACATTGATGATCTGCCCATCTGGGGTAAGTGGTCTCACCAATGAGTGACAAGACATTTTTTTGTGCAGCATTAGAATAAGTACTTCTTGTAAAACTTTACATTTTGTTAGGAGAAATGCTGCACTGGTTTTGTGAAGATTGTAATTACTTACTCAGGCCTTGTCATATTTTAGCTTATAATTGGGAACACTGGCAAAAGGATATTGATGAGTTAACATGTAAAAAGGTATTGGTTTCAAAGAAAGAATAAAGGAGCTTAAAGAAAATACTGACAAATGAAGCTTTAATGAAACAAGAAATTACTGCGTTTAGCAAGTATCAACGTACATGAGAGGGTGATGATTTCTTCCACATTGTTTGCAAACCTTAGATAAGGGTGCAACTTTTGTCCCATGAGTGTGAACTTATCACATGGTAGCTTAGGCTCCTGTGTTTAAAGCTTTCTTTGAGTTAGTTTGCTCTTTAAAGATGAATTAAATAGTATTACAGTAGCTTCTTAAAATCAAGAAATTTGACAAGAATACAACTCACAAGAAAACACAGTAAGGTGCAAATAGTATGTACTTGTGGTTATAGCTAAATTCCAGAAACAACAGATCAAGAAAAACTTTTTCCCATAAGTAACCTGTAGTAATTATTATATGCTAAGAATTTGACAAAGATTGCAAAAATCACCTGCAGCCAAGATGATATGCAAATTATTCAATGAAAGGCTAATTCTAAGGGATTATGGTAGTTGAGATTCTCTTGGATAGCTGTGGTGAATATTCAGGTGAGAAAAATTATGTTCAAGATTCCTGATAAATTGTAATTTGATGCCATTTGAAGCATTTTACAAATCAACCCGTTCATGAGCTTGTCACTCATAAATGCTTATTAAAATTGATGGTGTAGTGCAATGCCCACCACCAATCATCTGCCTATTATATCATACTTAATGCCAACCCTTGCCCTACTCTGGAATTGGTATATGAGCATTTGCAGAGAAGTAGTGGTACGTATCCCACACATCAATGACCAACCCACTTATTTATGTGACAGAAGAATCAATAAAATGTTTCAAATAATTTTGACATTACTTCAACATAGGTTATTTTTATATCCAAATCTATTGTGTGCTTGAAGTCTGTTGCTGGAATTATATAAGAGTTATATGCACCCATATCCACAATAGTTTTCTTATCACGATACTGCTGGACCTGAAATTGTATTCTAAGTTAGGGTAGAGTAAAGCATTTCACAATGGAAGGAGGAGGGTTGGATCGGATATCATTATTTTAATTTTGAATCGGCATCTCTATTAAATTTGGAATTCCGATAAATTATTGTTTCAAAACAGAGTCAAAGGGGGAGTTTCATGTGAAATGCGGGTTTTAATAGATCATCTTTTCAAAATCAATCCCTTAATTTGCTAATTTTGTGAAAGGGATTTGTGTTTGCAGGATGGTTTCAATTCTCTGGGATTATGGTAATGAAAATTAATTCAACAAAATTTTTCTGAATTCCCTTTCTATTTCATATTAGGGAATAATAAAAGAAATAAAAAAATTTTTAAAAACCACGTTTTCTTAATGAACAAAAAAGAAAAACATTTACTCTTACATAGCATTTAAGTTATGTAAAACATTATGTAATGTTATGTAAGAGTAAATATTTTTCTTTTTTGTCTGTTAAGAAAATGTGGTTTTTAAAAATTTTTTATTTGTTTTATTTCATTATTTTTAGTTTTGTAAAAACCAGAAAAACTTGTTTTTTAAAAATGGTTTTTTATATTTATTTATTTTCCACTTTTTAGTTTAGCAATTTTAGCAATTCAAATCAATTTCCAGGGTTGGCAAGTCTGAATGTTCGAGAAAAAAACTCAATTCTGTAAAAAAAAAATTTTAAATTATTATTTCTGATGAACAAATCTTGAATTGTTAGGCAGCATAAGCATGCATACCAAATTTCAAGTTTTTAGGATCTTCAAAAGTGCTCTAAATTAAGGTTTGAATTTTTGATGACAGACAGACACGAAATGAAGCTAAGAAAAAAGTGGTAATAAAAACAGTGTGATTCTCTTTGGTTGTTTCAATAGTTCTATCTTCAATTGAACTCTTTAAGTTTTACAACTTTTAGTTGGATTTGGGATCACAAGATTAATTATGACATATTTCAGAATGTTGGGATCTAGCTTGATGTTTTTGGGATGAAGTTATTTGAGATTACATGATTTACATAGCTGGAATTTTCCATGCCAGGCAATGCCAGGTTCAGCTGCTAGTTCTCTAGTTATTGAAAATAGGATTTATCACCATTCGCACTTGCTCACCATAAACGATAACTGGTAGTGGTAGAACTTCCTGGTACAAGCACTAAATAATGAATTTATTATGTACTCGTAAAGCGATAACTTCTCACTAAGAAGAGATAATCCAACTCAAACATTTGAAAAGCACACTCAACTTGATAAATCCACATTGACCAAGAATCGTATGATATATTTCTGACACCAAGCTTATCAGGTATACCTTCAAACACTCAAATATATAAAATAAAGATGAAGCCAGTTCATCTATCACAATACAATGTAGAATATTGCCTGTGTGTGTCACAAATTCAAGGTTATTTTTCTATCTGTTTATTTATATATGTATGAAATGAATAGGTACACTCAATATTTTTACTACCGTATGTATAATTATTTTATCATGTTTAACTTTTCTAACTGTATTACCTACTTGTGATCAATTATTAGTATGGCTTGAAATTCTACTAAAATCATCATAATTGTTGATCTCCTTCAATGTTTAAAAAAAAAGATGCAAATTTCATCTTCAGGAAGCTTTCAAGCTTTGAAATTAAAAATGTCAGAAATGTCTTTTAAAGATTTTTATTTAAATTACAGGAATTGTTGGTGAGATCGGTGAAGGCCAGGAGAACTTCTACTTGTGGACTCACAAGAAGTTTGACATTGGTTACAATGGCAATAGAATCGTAGATGTCAACCTCACATCAGAAGCTAAGGCTGAACTCAAAGCAGGAACTAAGATCAAATTTACTTATGAAGTCAACTGGAAACCCTCAACTGTCAGCTTCGAGGACAGATTCAACAAATATCTTGACCCTAACTTCTTTCAGCACAGGGTAAGAACTGATACTATTTTAGTGATGGTTTTCGTTACCAAGTTCGTATTTAAGCCTTTCAAATTTCATTTTTTCCTACGTCTGACTAAGGAATTTAAAATATCTAAATGAATTTCCGTGCATCTGAACTACTGTTGAAAATATGCTATGCATTAAATTAGAAAAAAGGGTTAATGTAGGCTAATGTCCTCATCTTATGGACAAGCGTTACTTTTGCTGTAATCAAGTTGTGAACAGAAGTCTGTTCAAATATGCTATCTATGTAATTTCCACAGATTCACTGGTTCAGCATCTTCAACTCCTTCATGATGGTCATATTCCTTGTTGGTCTGGTCTTCATGATTCTAATGCGCACTTTGCGCAAAGATTATGCCCGCTATTCCAAAGATGAAGAAATGGATGACATGGTCAGTAGTTTGTCTCATATCTGTCTAATTGATTCTGATTAATATGCGAAGGAAATGCTCTATTTTGAAATACTGTGCCGACTCATTACGCCTTGTGATTTGCAGTGCATTATTTCTATCTGAATGAAACATAACTTAACTGTTTGACATGTGGTTCAATTTAAAATATGATTTCCCGTTGAAATATTGGCCTGTTTTTCTCATTAATAGGAACGTGACCTCGGCGACGAATACGGCTGGAAGCAAATACATGGCGACGTGTTCAGAAGCCCCGCCCACCCCCTGCTCTTCTCCGCCCTCATAGGCACCGGCCACCAGCTGTTCGTGGTCGCCCTCTTGGTCATCGGACTCGCCATCGTAGGAGAGCTCTACACAGAGTCAGTCAATAAATGCTATAGTTTAGTTTAATCTCCTTCCATTGACATTAATCAGACGATAGTCTTCATCAATCGAATACATGATAACTACTATGCTAATACAAAAACTGAAATATAATGGAATGGATGACTTGTATTTACTTCTCATGTTGCCGTTTTATTTCTCAGTCAAAATATTCATTTCATATTATTCTTGTTTTGAAACTACTCGCTCAATTTTTGGGAAAAATTTTACCTGCAACATTGGTATAAAACAGGCCAATTATTTCATAAAGTTTCATCATGAAAATTCTGTGTTGCTTCCTTCGATAAGGCGCGGTTCCATGGTCAGCATTGGCATCTTCATCTACGCTGCAACTAGTCCTCTCAACGGCTACTTTGGTGGCTCTCTTTATGCCAGAATGGGCGGTAAGTGATCATGGGTTAAATTAATCTCATGTGCTGCATATGGCCGCGGTAAAGACCATGGGACAAATTGGATTCTAAATTCAAAATCAGAGTTAGAAATTTTTCAATTAGAAAGACATTTTTTATTTTTTTATTTTAAGTCTCTGTATAAATATTTTCATATCACTAAAGAAAAGAATGATTTCCTTAAAATCCTGCTGATTTCTGCTGCCTAGTGACTTGTACTTTTCCCATCCTGAAGATGGAATCGCTAAACTTAATAAGTTAGGTTATCTATTTGTAAAGTGGTTAGAAATATTCATTATTCCAACTTTAGAGCAAAGATTTATTCATCCTGAAAATAACTGAGAGCATTTTTGCGAGAAGGTCGCCGATGGATCAGGCAGATGTTGGTGTCAGCGTTCCTACTGCCGGGGCTCGTGTGCACTACGGCCTTCTTTATCAACTTCATCGCTCTGTACTACCACGCTTCACGCGCCATTTCCTTCACAATCATGGTGCGCAAGTCATTTTTACAATCTAGAATATTGAATTTATTGTTCAGAGTTCTCTGAGGGTTTACTTTACTTCTACGAAGTGTATGCTTTCCATAGAATTACTTTTTATGATGATCTTGAAATATTTTCCACAAAATTTAAATGAGAAAATCCAAAACAATTCATAGAAGAATCAGTGCTCATATTCTTGTACAACTTTGTGAATATGAATGATTGAAAGTACCAGGATTCGATCAGTACCCCTTATTTGATGCGCAAAATGGCTCCATTATTTCCCCATAGCCTCTATCCAGGTAATTTTTGTTTCAGTTGTCAGTTTTATCGCTGTGCACGTTCGTGATCTTGCCGCTGACGCTGGTTGGCACGGTGTTGGGCCGGAACTTGGCAGGCCAGCCGAACTCGCCGTGCCGTGTGAACGCCGTGCCGCGCCCCATCCCTGAAAAGAAGTGGTTCATGGAACCCTGGGTCATAGTGCCCCTAGGAGGCGTCCTACCATTTGGCTCCATCTTCATAGAAATGTTCGTAGTTAGTTACTTAGGAACGCCCGTTGTTAAGTACTGGAAATATATCAATTACATTCGTTTGGTAATATCTCTTTTTAATGCAACTTGGATAGTTTTTGTGCTCTAAGTATTCTAGATGAACTCTTACTAAGTCGTCACTAAGCAATCATTTAAGTATCAGCTGCAGTTGGGTACCCTCTTAGAATAATGAACTTATTAGTGTTTTCGTTTTCAGCAAACTGCAGTTCATCTTGATTTTGAAGAAGACAAGTCAAAAATAAATACGCTCACTGTTTAGTAAATAACATCTTTCTTCGTCAATTAATGTATCTGCAATTAGAGCTAGTAACCTGCTTAACTATGAGCTGTACTAAACCATTTTTTTCTTCCATTTTACGGGAATTCGAAAATGTTTAGAAACTTTGTATCACTTAGAACCATGTAGGAAAATTTTGTAACTCGAGTAATCGATCGATTTTTCAGGTACTTTATCTTCACGTCATTTTGGGCATACAAGATATATTACGTGTACGGCTTCATGCTGCTGGTGGTGCTGCTGCTACTGGTGGTCGTTGTGTGCGTGACCATCGTGGCCGCGTACTTCCTGCTCAATGCTGAGGACTATCGCTGGCAGTGGACGTCCTTCTTGGCCGCCGCCTCCACTGCAGGATACGTCTACCTCTACGCCACTTACTACTTTTTCTTCAAGACCAAGTAGGAACTTCTATTAGCAACCGATCTATATTAATTTCCGCATTGTTGGCTGCATTTTTATCCCTGCAGAAATTTAGAAATAATTTAGCTAAATCAAGTCCTCAAATGAGCTGTGTTTTGTTTCTTGTTAACTCAACCTTAATATTCTGATTATTTAATTGCACCTTCGTACATCATTCACTGCGCGGCTTTGTTTTCTGTAGGTACTAAAAAACTAATTTGTTTTATGATTTTTAAAGATGCTGTGATTGAGATAAGGGGTCAACATTCTGATCATTTTCCTGTTGCAGCATCTAGTCAGGGACTTTCAAGGGATTTATTTCCTAGGACTTCTATCGTTGACTCGCTAAGAAACGAATGAATGAAAAAGCCCTCGACAATAATTGTTAATTATACCCATCAGTGCGATAAGTATTATAACTTAGCTTTTTTGCAACAATGTGATGTTGAAAGCTCAGCTTTTTAAGTTACTATAGAATAGTTCATAAAGTATGAATATAATTCCTGGTACAATTAATCTCATCAACTGCAATTTTACTAGTTTACAATAACTAAGGAAAAAGTATTAAATTATAATCAAGATTATATTAAACTCTTGGTATGAATTGCTGCGACGTCAGATTACAATGTGGTCATGCTTGTGCAGGATGTACGGCCTCTTCCAGACGTCCTTCTACTTCGGGTACATGGCGCTGTTCAGTGCAGCGTTGGGGCTGCTGTGCGGCACCGTGGGCTACGTCGGTTCCAAACACTTCGTCAACAGAATCTACTCTACAGTGAAAATTGATTAAAAACTTTGATGCATTTCTAGTATACTACCAGTTGCAATCGATTGGTGTCTCCTGGTAGAGCTGTCATTTTCCAAGTATTTTCCGATGTGTGTCTTGCTAGGGAATTTGGTCGTAATGAATTTTATGCTTGATCGAGTCCGTTTGGCACCAAAAGTGGCTAGTCCTTTTTATCTCTTCTAGTTGTGAATTTATTGTGGAAAATAGTTACTTTTCCAGCCAAAATTCAGTGTGGTCATGTTGTTTATTAACTCTTCACTTTATTTCTGTTCGCAAATCTAAGCAAAACGTATCTTAGTGTTATCCTACTGATCTGTGAATTTGTTTAACTTGGTTGTTGGAGGAGAGCAAATGCCGTTCTCCTTTACCTTGGTTTTAAATAGCGCTTAGTTCATAACTAGACTCGATGTTTGGTTGAAAGAGGTTTTCTTATACTGTCTGCACATTAAATTCTGACCAGGAAAGTTCAATAATGCCGTCAGAATTGTTGAAAGTTGCTGGCACTCGTTACAAGGAAACAGCATGTCTAACATGTTTGAATATCCAGTTTTATTAAGCCGGGAGCAGTGTTTCATTACTAGATTAAGTAAATACCTTCGCCGTCTTGGATTTGCTTCCAGGCTGGATAATGTTGGTGTGCGTTCAGTGCATCGAGTGTGAAATCGCTGAATAATCTATCCAATATTCTTCGAAGTTGTTGGTGATGAAGTTCATGTTACGAGGTGTACAGCCCAGTACGCTGCAGAGTACTAGAATTTTGAATTGCAACTTCGAAGCTAAACACGTCAGAACTACCATGTATTTTTACCGTTATTTTCAGCATTTATGAATGCCTTCTTTAAAACCAACCGTACAGCTTTCAAATCGTATTGCACCGGTATGTGTTTTTTTTACTAGTGCAGAACTTTCTCTACGGCTTCACAATCTACTGACAGGATCCAGTTGGCTGTACAGTTTTCTTTGAACTTGTTCGGCGGTGGATCTAATGATACAGCTTTGCATCGTCGTCGAGATACTTTATTCTTTCTTTATGCTTTGATTTGATTCAATTTAGGGAAGATTACCATGCATTGTTTCTTCCTGCAAGTCAAACTTTGGTATAGTCTGCTGCATTTGTGATACTTTATTCAGATCGAATGCTTATTTAGCGAGAAATTGTGTTTCTATGTGTCCTTTGGACATCAGTGTACGTGTAAATATTTGTTCACTATTATGATGGGTATTATTTTCGTTATGTTCATTATGTGTAGCCATAATGGAAATCAGTTGGAAGATTCCGAGAAGCATGTGTGTTATTTAAACTTCTATTACCAGGTAACGTGATCTTCAGTTTCCGCTACCAGTATTCCTGTATTTTCACGCTTTTTTGGTCCTTTAGCTTACACCTGTTTTTATACGAAAATATTCTGGTGAATTCTTATAGAATTGTACTTTTATGAAGCTATTAGCAGTTTTTTTGTGTCGTGCACGAGTGCTGCTATTCAATCTGGTGAACGCAGCTTATGTGACGGATTCGCCGTTAACGTTCCTGGAATTGTGATGGCACAATGCCCACAAGTTTCTGCTGTTATTAAAACATTTGAATTCAGCGTTGATTTTACTTCAGAAAGATTTTAAAAGCCTAGTAGACTTAAATTTCAGTTTTAATTATTCTAGAGTGAACAATTTTTTTTGAGCTTAGAATTTCCTTCTGTCCATAAATTCGGGCACAAGTGATTGTGTTGTGAATAAATTGATTGACCAAGAACTGCCGTGCTGTCTGATTTAATATTTATGTGCTTACATTAAGTTTAAAATAGTTTCTTCTGATTGCAAGATTTGTAGAGGCCGTAGTTACGTCGCATAAGCATTCTTATCGAGTGATGGTTACTTAACATGATATGAAACAAATAAGATATCAAGTACCTCTCGTACCGTTTTTCTTGGTTATCAGCGTACAATAGCACTCGGTATTACATGATTTCTATTAAATATTTTACCCGACACGACCTCCATGGCCCACATCAATTTTAATCCATTTAATTGGGATATTTTGACTTGAGCGGTATTAGAATTTGTGACACGCTGAACCAATTTATTGGGTAAGAGCGTTAGACTTGTGGAAACGGTAAATCTCAAGAGGGTAAAAAGATCATGGCGCAGGAACAGCCGTGAGTATACTTTGTTTACAATCGTGAGTCAAACATTTTATTGAGGCGGTAAATTGTCTTTATACTTTAGTACATCAATCACTACTAACTTGATTATATAATTAAAATAACTAAAATGATCATAGAATGAACATCAACGGTCGATAAATAGAAAGCGCTGTTCATAAGCAATCTTTTAACTAAAGATTTTCAGACTATTATGCGATTCTTTAAATTTCAAATTGACCAAAAATTTAAAACCGCAAAAAATGTCAAGTCGCTATTTTTCAACAATAAGGTGGATTTTCTTCCTTTCTAAAAATTTCTTCAAACCATATCTACAGGGATTCTGATTTATAATATCGCTCTCGTGAACGAACTGTCTGAAATTTTTTCGGTAGCTACGAGCGTATCAACGATACGATTTCAATATTTCATGAAATATCATGAGATTTGCTAGCCTTACATTTTAAACGTTCAACCATTATCAAGGGTTGCTCAACATCGTCATCAAGTTCTTAATGTATATATTCTACTGACATATGCCTGACGACAGTAAAAGCAAAAAAAAAAAAAAATTCGCTTACGAGATGCTGCGACGCAACGGGTTTCATTCATGGTGGATCCTGCAGTGCCCGTGGCTGATCATTTCTTGGTAGTTAACTTTCTGTTGTAGCGACGCCATTTTTTCCCTGCAAGGAAAGGCGCACCCTTCACAAGTTATACTATGTTCATACGACATGAAAAGTTCCTTCTCTCGCCATGCACTAAAGAGCTGGTCACACTGATCAAAACGAGGTCTTTCAACTTGGTAGTTAGCGCCCATGAAAGAATGATTCACGTTATGCTGCCAGTAATTGATTACTTGATGAATTCAATAGTTCATTTTGATTTTGTTTGGTCATAAGAAGTTTCACTCAAGGGTTCCAGTAACCTCGTGCGGCTCGAAATCGCGTTCTGTAGTCCCTTGTCGTAGTCAAGACTTTCACTTCTGCTAAAATTCCAAGTTTTCAAATAAAAAGGAACTTGTAGGTGACCGGTTGCACCTTGCCTGACGACTAAAATCTGGAACTCACTGTTTTCAATCAATACCTGCTTGAATATATTGTAAATAATTTGAATATTTGTTTCAACACAGGACTCGCACACATACTTCAGTGTGTTGAAGACCCCATGTACGCGACTTGACGCTATAGTGTCAAGACATCTCGAACAATGAGAATATAGGGCGACATGACGCAATATTTAACTTTACATGGTTATGTTAATTCAAATATCATGCTTAATACTGGTAAAAAGAAAAACGCATTTGACTATGTCGAGCACAAAGATAAGTATATTTGGGATGTCGGAGACCGCTTACTTACAAACGAAAAATCAGAACAATATTAGGAACGCACACCGCTAGCGAACAGTTCGGTTCAACTCGTCTTGCTACTTAGCTGAACTGCTGGAAACAGCCATACAATTAGCAGTAGATAAGAACAGTCACAGATGTAGATTAATTAAATTCAAGATATGCCAAAAAATTTGCCACTAGAAGCTTAGTTCAACTCTGCTCAACTCTTATCATAGTTGAGAGCATTCCTCGAGCTTCTAAGAAGCCGACAAATTGATGCCCAGACAACGGCTTACTTTTAAAGAAGTTATTGCAAAATCAGTAGGGTAAACAACTCGTTAAAATTCTCTCACTGCAATGCCAGAACATAAATTGCATTAAGAAGTAAATTGACTACATTCTAACAATAGCGTTGGAGAATCTTAGGTAATTTACTACTGAATATCCCATAATGACGTTACTTGGCAAAATATTATTTCAGAGTAACTAAGTTGTTGTTTACAGAGGCTACTCTTCACAAACCGAATATCGCAGGGTGTGAATTAGTTCTGTTCGAACTCTAATTCCACAATCTTCGGATTGTAATCAACGGCTTTGTGAAATTTGTGTCGGAGAAAGGCTCGTACCACCACGTCGCGTGTGTCTAAGACATAATCCAACACACGAGTCGACAAGAACAATACTTTCACGAAACGTCGTCATACTTTGAGAGCATGCCTATTCAGAAGATCTTAACACGATTATTAAAGAAGTCAAGCACCATTGCGAAACATCAAGTTGATGCACTCGAACCAGCTATGATTTCATGCATTTTAGAAATCATTAAGAATTAATTACCGGGATGGAAACTTCCGGGAACTGACTTCTAATCTATTGCAAAGAAACAAAAAAAAAATCCGAATTTGAGTAAATCAACACGTCAACGTTTTGAACTAATGAGGAATTTTCTCCTTTTAATTTAGCTAGTCAATCAACTTCAGTCTCTGAAGAGATTTTCTTAATTTTATTACACATCTAAATAAAAAAAAATAATTAGGTAGTAAACATCGGCAATTTCACGACACCGCCAATCTTTACAATTGCCGCTTCCATGCACTTAATCAGTTAGCTTTTTTTAACGAACATTCTCAATGGTATGGCAATAATATAATGGGAAATTCGAATGGCACAATGAATGGCCCAAATTCTAGAATATTTGTTGTAGATCTGAAATGCGACGTGCTGTATTTTTGAAGGTCTTAAGGGAAACAGATCAACAAAAAAAGCCAACACAGTTCACCTATCTGTGACACTACAATCCAAGAACAATTACTTTATAAGCAAACAGAGAAAACCAAATAGAAGAAGCAGTACCAAAAGTCAAACAACAATATAGACTCTGGAGCAAACCAGTAAAATAAAATAATTTTTTCACAATGACCCAGGTACAGCATATAAAATAAAGAAGTTTCTTGATACATACTTCAAAGATAGACTTAATTCAAGCATCATGGTTAACCTTGAACGTGAAATTAGAACTTTGCCATACACAGCAAGAGAAAAAGGAACATACACCACATCTTCTCTCAAATCCGTACTTAGCTGAAGATACAATTAATTCAACAACTTATTTCTAAAATTGAATAATACCCCAACAAAACATGTAGAAAAGGGTTACCATTCAGAAAAAAAAACAGTTCGTCAATAAACTTAGTAAGCATCAGATAAAAGCCAGACGTTAAACATTTATCGTCCAATGCACAATCAAGCACTAGAGATAAACAAGCAAGCCAGTGGCTATACTTCAGCAATTAGTTGTAGCAGCATCTACACCTACAAATTTTCAGTTACTTCTAAAGAGCTAGTGTGCCTTACCCCTCTCAATGACCCCTTTCAGAGGAGGTCCTCGATATTCCGCCTGGTCGCACCAAAAATCACTTGGAGAGGGTATGGGAGTCAGCCAGGTCTTACTCTCATCTAGATCACTTAAGAAATCCATAGTAGTGACATCCACTTCTCTAAAATAATGGCAATCACGCTCAAAACCCAAACGCCTGTCTTCGCCATATGGCGGTGATAAAATATCTAAAAAGGCAGCAGGCCCATCTACAGATACAATTTCATGAAGATTTTCTCTGTCTGGGCTGAGAGAGATAGGAGGGTGGAGATATGTGCGTTCTACAGGAGCATGCTTAAGAGCACAGTGCAGGTTGCGGGGGCCAGCCTCGCTGAGCAGTGTGTAGCTCTGCACCTTGATGCGGCCGTGCACCACCTGATTAATGTCAAAATAATTAATAGCAATTCTACCTCACAGGAGCTTAAATTATTAAGCATATTTAAGCTTAATATAAATATTAATCATAATATTTCTGTACTTGAAGTTGGGGTAGACAATTGAATTTGTACTTCAACTGTATGTTGAATAATTGTAATAATTGTAATTGTAAGTTGAACTAGGGATAGACATGAACCAGCAATAAAAATCAAGATGATTAAATTTCTTCTCCAATGTCCAAACTCACTAAACAGCAATGACAAAACATCAAAGCTCAACTAAATATAAATGTATATTCTATAGTATATACATATATATTCCTATCAATTGCATAGATAAGAATATGTGAAAACACCCTTTCAGATACCATAAAGTTTTCATTTAAAAAAGTGAACAAATTACAAATGCTTTTTAAACAATTATTTATATACTGCAAGCATTAAAATCCGTCAGATTTTTCCCCTTAACAGCACATTTCTTTGAAGAAAATTACAGCACAAGTATATTATCTATTCACTTTCTATACACCTGCATTAACCTTTAGTAATCCCTGCATGCCAGGATGATCATGCATGGGCATTCTGACGCCTCTACGTAAAATGAAGACACAAATGTTGACGTCAGAATCTTCATAGAGCTGCATGTAAATTACTGGGGCGCGCCCGTCAGCTCGGAAGCACCCTCTGTTGCTCTGCAATACAAATATCAATTATTGGAGGCAAGTAACAGAAGAAATATAGAATTTCAGAGACCATAATTGTTTCATGGATAGGTCCAAGAAGTATGACCCTGAATATGAACAAATTTTTAACATAAATTATTTGCTTTAAAATCAACTTTACAACCTGAAAAGTTATCTAATATTCATAAAAAAAGCTTGAAAGTCATAAACAAATAGGAATTAACTTTCAGTTTTGGGAATAGTTACTAAGGATTTTAGATATAGTGGACTGTAGAGTGAATGAGTGCTCTTGGCCACAATATGAGCCCATCTTCTTCATGTTCAAAAACAAAGGAATTTCAAATTTTACCAATTCCACCTTGTCAACTGTTTACCATTTTTCAACACTTTTAGTGTAAAAACATTCTATATGGTTTTTTTCTCATATGCCTACATATTTTTTCATTCAGATCATTTTTTGTTCATCCAAATTGTTATATAAAAACCTCTTAAGTCAAAACCTAAAAATCAAGGAAATGGTGTTTTCTGTTTTTTTATCTCATTTTGTAGGAAGAAATATTTCCAATCAAAAGCAAAAAATCCCAAGGCTCTAGCTTTCATGGTTTTTTGTGAGGTCAGTTAGAACTTTAATAAAAAGAACATTTTGAAACCATTGTTTATAAGGATTTTTTTAATTAAATACGGCATTTATAGATCATTATTTGCATTATTTGAACTGCTTTTTAGATTACTATGTAGGCATGTGCACAAACCACATGCATATCACAACAAAGCTACCAAAATGGTGGACAGTCAGTTTTGCTTCAGAGCGTGGGAGGCATATAGTTTACAAGTCCCACGAACTGGTAATTTAATTTGATTGATGTGTGTTTGGAAATGAATAAAAAAAACATCAATTATGACAACACCATCTTGTTTTTCAAGAAATTTCTATCATCCACTTGCTTGGATTGGGATTTGCAAAGGTGCAAAGGGTACCACTTAGTGGTTAGTGCTAAAAATAAACCTTGAACATGTACCAGGCCATTAAGGGAGCATCTACCTTAAAAATCAAAATTTTCGGCTTTTCTGGTTTTTAAGCTCATCTTAAAGCTTACTTTCTGCCACATTGAACGGTGCTAGAACCATCTCTGTACATTGATTTATGCGTACAGGACAGATCCCAAAAGGGGGGAGGGTGGTGGGGTCAGTTCACAAAAGTCTATGGGGATAATTACAGCCAAGCCATATAAAATGGCTTTCACTGGACCTGCAGCTCAGTTATCACTCAGCCATCATGCGGAAAGGTGGTGATGTAGTTGTCCTATGCACTGCTGACTGACTTTGAAGTGAGAACGCTTACTTCCGGTATCTAAGCTACGTTGCATGCCTTTACATAGCGCACCGCGGTTTTTCGCCTCTACTGAAAAGTTTGAAAACATGAAAACCTCACTCACAGCAAACCTATCTCCTCCTAGAGTTTTGAAGCTACATCAATGAGACATATATCGTTTGATTTGCAAAGAAAAGATCTACAAACTGGTAGTAGGCTTTTTACCAAGTTTGTTATAGTTTGGATTCTATTTTGCAAAAAGGGGGGGTAAGTGGAGGTAAAATAGAAAATTTCAAAAAATTTTGGACAAAATGCTCCCACACCCACAAAAATGAGAAATGCAAAAAACCTCCATGACCAGTTTGTAGATATGGTCTTTATGCATCGAATGATATGTGTCTCGATGTTGTAGCTTGAAAATCCTAGGAGGAGATAGGTTTTCTAAAGTTCCCCCTTTTGACCATTTTTCAAGAATTTCACATTTTCTTTCAATTTTTTGAAAAATTGACATGAATAAAACTGGAGTTTTTTAGGGTTTACACATTTGTACCAAATTTCAAATTGATCCCTCTATAAATTACCAAGATAAAATTTAGGGTAGATGCTCCCCTTAAGGGATCAGTTTTATATTGGTTTTTGTTAAGAATTTATCGGTTCAAATTTGGTGCATCTGATGGTGTTATTGGCATGTCTATGCCTGCATTAGTCCATTCACTAAGTTGATTTTAGTATGCAACAATTGGTTGAAAATTCCGTGATGTATACACAATTGACCAATTGTTCTGCAACTTTTGAGCGGACAATTATCCCACCTTGCCAATAAATTGCATCAATTTGAAGGTCTAAATCTCACGCATCCAATGGTGTGAGCCGCATGTCTATTTGTGAGTTAGTTTGTTCACAAGTTTGATTTGATGATCGCAATCTCTATCTGTACACCTTTTCAGTTTATCAAGACCATAGCCAGCGACTCTAGAAGCCTTTTTTTTGGATTTGTGCATGGTTTGACTTGTATATGGGAAGGAGTGGGGAAAAATGTGGAAGAATTGAAAAATGTGCCTAAGAAAAAAAATGAGGAAAATCTAAAATCAAACTTCATGAGCCGCTAGATAACCAATCATTTTATAAATAGAATGAAATGTGTCTCAATATTGTAACCGTAATTTGCAAAAGTTATAACATTTTCAAAGTACCCCCTTTTTTAAATTTATCAATTTCATGTTTTCTTCAAAAAAATGTTTTTATTATTATGTTTGATGTATATGTGTGAAATTTCAAGAAGATTCATAGATAAATGTAGAAGTTTTTCTAGAACCAAGCCTTTCCTCTTAACATGCTCTTATAGTAATGCCTGCTAATGTGCTACACTACAGTCTATGCCAACATGCTACCTAATGTACTAAGCTACAATTTTTAACCCATTCATGGTCTGGTTACTATATATGGTCACTTGAAATTGCCTCACAAAGAGACTCACCACAGCTTCCTGTTTGTTTTTGAGGCAAATTTTGACTTGGACAATGAAATCAACACTCTTTCTGCTTTTTAGCGCATTTTCTCATTTGTGGAATAAATGCACTATTGTGCTCACCATGTCCATCTGTCTGTCTGTCTGTCTGTCCGTCCATGACCTCAAATTTTCTTCGATGAGAAAATGCGCTCTCTGTCACTCACTGCAGTGAGTACCTAGTTATATTATTTTTAAAAGGTGGAAGTATCAATAGATATTCAATTATTTAAGGTACTAACTTGATTGAATTGAACGAAATTAAATTTTTATGTTTTAAATTTTTTCATCTGCATGAATACATTTTCATTATAAAGAGAATATTTCTTCTAGTGACTGCATTTAATAAATTATTTGAGTGTGATTTACACCTCCAATATGCATATTTTTTCAATTTACATACAAATAAGTATTTTGTATAATACTTCTTGCTTTCTGAAACTAGTTTATGAAATTTTAATTTCTGGATATTTCATTGCTTGTCACTATAGGGCTAACTAGTAATTATGCACTAGTAATCATCACCTAATTCATTGAAGTTCAATTTTGAAGTTCTGAATAACTTCATAATCAGCACGTTTTTCAGGTATAAAGATGCTCTTCCTTTTTTATGCATTTGTCCCTAGTATAGAGATATAGCTGTGCGCAGTGTGCATCAGCGCATGTTGGTATGGCATCTCGCAATTTTTACACTATGCTGTTGGAGCATAATGGCAGAAGTTTTAGAACGGGAACATTACTTGCGCATCCTCCGCATTCAGCTGTGCATGTCCATGCCAAGCAGGGCAATGTTCTGGTGTCCAATAGTGATTTTAGAGTTCTAGCTTACACAACCAGTGTTGCTGACCTACAGATTTTAGAATCCCTGTACATTTTCAAACAGAAACCTAGTTTAAATGCAGCCTTAAGCTCCTATCCCCTCGAAAATGGTAAATAGATAGGCCTGTCACCTTACGACTTATGAGTATTTGTTTTTACTTCGTCAATTTATGTTTTTATCTCTAATGTGAATCTAGTTTTCTAATTGATTCTGCTTTTCTTATGGGTTTTGAACTTTTGAACTGACAATGGAGCTGGACTCTTAAAACGTTTTCATTCTTAAGAAATGGTTTATATTCTGGCCGTTTTCTTTGCTTTTAAATTTCTGCTATGCATCAAGATTTGCCCTATTATGTCGACATTGTCTTAACACGTTGACTCCGATTGCTTGGATGCCAAACTTCCATAGCAGACGGTGACAAATTTCATTTCTCAAGTTAGTTTGACGCTGGCCGTTGCAGTGAAAGGAGGTGTGTAGCTCTATATGCATTAGACCGAATATGTTGGTGAGAGAAAACACATGGGACATACGAGTACCACAACGTACTACAGTCAGAAAAATCTTTGTGACAAACAAAGTGGGACACTATTGTACCATGGCTTTGTGGTATAGTCTAGAAAATAGAGAAACATGAAAATGTCTAGAAGTTGATGCAAATCATCAAATGATAAAGGAAATCTGACTGGTATTCCATAATTTTATTAATTTTAATTATTTTCGCTCACTTTATGTGATAAACTGGGATTTGAGGCCGTGACAGAATGCCGTATTTGCTTCACTTCTGTGCTATTAAAAATACGCGCATTTGAGATTTGTTATGCTTTTTCATTGACCCTATGCTTTCTATTACCGGAAAAAAATAATGTAACTAACTTTTTAACTTGTATGTTAAAATCTATTTTGAAATAATGTGCTTAAATAATTAAAATGGTACACATATGTACCACTCTGTACTGGAGCAATATACCTTGTGGTACAGATATGTACCACTTTGGAGTCAACGTGTTCATAACTTCAAATTCTGAATGTCTCGTGTCTTTCAGAAATTATTCGTACCGTCAATTGGGGTAATAAGGGACGGGCGGGGTAATAAGGGACAGTCCTCCAACATTTTGTAGAAATGTTGTAGCAGCTAAACTAATCAAAATATTGCAAAACTGAAAATAGAGGCATTAAGTTCAACATTTTTACTGTCTAGGCAGCATAAAGCAAGTTGAGAAATCATACATTTATTACCTCTAAAAAATCCCTGAAAAAAAGTGTGAAAAGTGAGATTTTTGAAAAGTATCTCTGCTAAGGTCTGTAGCAGAAAAAATATCTGTAGTGTTGAAAAATTTTACTTACATAAAAGTTGCACACAGGTGTTGGCT